TTTTGTGAGCGTTATAAATCTGCCTCTGCACCATATTTTTTATTTTTTTCTGAAATATCTACATTATTTTAGGCTGGAAGTTATATAAATAACTTAATTTAGTCACATGTGGAAGTTTTAATTCACACCAGTGGTAATGAGATTGAACATGAAAATAAAAGTAATATGTATAAACAGTAGATATTATATATATATATATATATATATATATATATATATATATATATATATATATATATATATATATATATATATATATATATATATATATATATATATATGTGTGTGTGTGTGTATATCACGAAAATAAACACGTGATTAAGAATGTGACAATGTCAGACCACGGAGGAAAAATGAAACAGGAAATTTCCTTAAGTACTTTCGTATATTAAATACATCTTCAGAAGGTCCTTCACCTTCACTTCAAAATACACCTTCTGAAGATGTATTTAATATACGAAAGTACTTAAGGAAATTTCCTGTTTCATTTTTCCTCCGTGGTCTGACATTGTCATATATATATATATATATATATATATATGTAACAATGATAAAAAAACACTGATCCAAGTATGCGGAAAAAATCACATGTGAAAAATAGAGAATACTTAAAGCGTTTTCGGCTACATCGCCTTCATCAGAGCAAAGTAGAATGAAAGGTGTTCATTCAAAGTAGAATGAAACTTTCATTCTACTTTGCTCTGATGAAGGCGATGTAGCCGACAACGCGTTAAGCATTCTTATGTAGTTTTTCCGCATATATATATATTACGCTAACTAGTTTCTTCATAAGAATGGGTACGTCATTCACGCGGATGTTTAACTAAGCTAATCTAAGCAGATACCGTACACAAGCAACATAAACCCCTTTTAAAAAAAACCTAAACATTACCCGGATTTTGCAGAAATTATTACCCGAAATGCAGTAGGAAATTCTATGAATATCTAAGTGACTATTTTAGAGTCCTGTCAACTGGCGTTCCCACGGAGGTAGAGTACTGCAGAGTACCCAAGGATACCAGCAGCCAGGCAGAACAAATCAATAAAAACATCTAAGGATTTGATGTTTTTATACAAAAAATCTAAAGTTTTTTTAATGGGCAGTAAATAGCACCATCCCACAAGGGAAGTATTTCATTTCATATATTACGAAACTTCCAAGAACACATCTAGAAACGTTTTCTCACTTCAATAATAAAATTAGTATTTCTTTTTTATAAATAAATATGACATGACAAATATATTTCCATATTTCATTGTTCACGCATCGAGTGAAAAAGTGCAAAAAAATGTGAAAAACGAAAAACAAATATGAAAATTAGATGTTATCTTCATCTAAAATCATTTTGCCTCTTGTGTTTCGTTATTTTTTTGGGATATAGGTTTATGTTTTTAAATCATTCACTTGGATGAGAATGATTACCTTCATGTAACAAATTTGGGCAGTTTATCTATGGGTTTGAGGTATTCGATGTCTTTGGATAAACAGAATGAACATGTTCATAAGATAATCGTAAAAAAGGAAGGCAAGTTACAGTATAATAATTATCATTTCTACTAATTATTTCAAATCCATCTTTACCGTCATGGGCCAACCCGACCAACCTTTCACAACCACTCTTAACCCCACCAAAAAGACATTAAAGTCTATATCACTTATGCCATGCAACTTACATAACACATTAAGCTTAAATTTGCCTTTCATTCGAGTTAACGTTTGAGAGAAATTTGATGAACAGGTTTGATTTTATATTTAAAGTTATGCTTTTGCCAGCAGTAGGGTGTGAAGCCCACACTGACATGAATACTATGGCGCCTCACCTCGTGTACATCATATTTAAAACATTTCATCATATAGTTTCGCTAGGTTAGGTTAGATTTGGTGTGTTTAATTATGTGGATTGCAATGACGTAAATTTCTCATGTTTTAGATCCAACTCCTGGCTAATGGAACTTCCTCAAGCTTTAAAATTCCTTAAAACATATTTCCCTTCTAACTTTTAGACTTGAAGTTGAAAACGTTACTGAACTGGAACATGTTGAACAGTCCACCAGTATCACTGATTAGACGACGAACGATAACATAACCGAGAACTCATGCGTTGTATTTCTTTTCTGTATTACTGTATTTCTGTATTACTCTGTATTACTGTAACGCTTGCCTGGTGTTTCGCCAGGGCTTTGTCCTGGGTTCGTGTCCTGGCCGGGGAGGATTTACAGGGCGTCAATCCTTAACTGTAGCCTCTGCTTAACTCAACAGTAAAATAGGTACCTGGTTGTTAAACGATTTTTCGCGGGGGTCGTATTCCAGGGAACATAGAATTAAGGACCTGCCCGAAACGCTATGCGTACTAGTAGCTGTATGTAAGAACTCTTGTATATATAAATAAATAAATAAGATAACATTTTAAAACGCCTCTCATCCCTTCCTCCCCCGCCCCTCCCACCACACAAAAAAATATTAGTACAGTAGCTTAGCTTTGGATTCGTATACTATAAAATCAACGATGCATCAAATTGATTTGTTCATTTGATGCATCATGTTAGTGTGATCTCTGTGCGTAATCAACGATGATAGTTTCCACAAGATTGGTTCTTAATTAAAACAATGATTATTGTTGATATTTATCTCCTCTGCCCTCCCGCGCTTGGAGGTTACTTTGAGATGATTTCAGGGCTTAGCGACCCCATGGCCCGGTCGTCGACCAGGGTCTCCTCGTTGCTGGCCTGTTGGACGCGGCTGACGTCCAACGCACACGTTGGACGTCCAACGCACACACTATTATTAACTTTCTCACGTGCGTTTATTGTACATTACTTCTCTTCAAACTTGTACACTTTTAAATAAAATCTGTATTAGTGAATTAACTTTTCAGTATTATTATTCAACAAGATCCAGAAAGTTGCTTTGGTGTTGGGCTTCAACCCTATCAATCGTGAAAGGGTTATTAAGGCTTACGCACACTATCTTACTGACTAACAACAAGGACATTTCAGACCTGAACATACAGTAGTTAAGGACTAAACTACATTCTGTATATGCACCAAGAAACTGAATACAAGTCTCAGTGTATATAAATATATCCCCATCCTTATCAATATAAGCTTACATATACCAGTTCCTATAACACTCCAACACAAGCCTGTTCTCTTGATTTGCCGCAACATGCAAAATAAGAGGTACTAAAACACATGAATCTATGCCACCCACTTAATCTAAGAAACCAACACGTGAAAAACGTGGATATTTGTAAACCGCTACTTTTCATCGCACCACTTATTTTGTACGTTGGGGTCCATAGCGTACAAAATGTACGTTGGGGCGTACGTAGCATTGGTTGAGTTAGTTCCCTAATTTAATCCCCTAATAATGGGATTTCTTAAGGTGTTTCCTCATTGGCACCTTCATGAACATGATTATATACGTTCATTAAAACGTAGCTTTGAAAACCTTTTCAATTAAAAATCTTGATGGGAAGTGAAAACGTGTTTTAATTAGGCAACATCAGAAGAGCGTTTGGGTGAATGGAGCGACATTCACAGTCGCCCTTAATGAATTAATGAACCTTAATATATTTTACATCATCGGAAAAAATGAACATTCCTTTACTATTAAGACAGCTTATTCATCCAAGTACCTATTGTAGAAGCCAAGGCACTGCTGCGACAGACAAGGACATCTCTACCTAACCAATAATATGGTATAGATTAGGTCTAATAGCATAATAAGCCTAAGTAGCTTAAACCCATAGAATTTGGCGCTTGCTGTGCATGCCGCGCACTGGAGCATTCATCGCTAAACAAAAAATCGTTAATCAAAACCCATTTATTATCGACATTCACTCAAAATCTTGGCAGGAATAAATGTTATACATCCAAATCTGGTAATTTAAGTCCCCGCGATGCTAACTGAGCAACTTCAATACACACCAACAATATCAAAGCCTCTGATTTCGAGAGGTTAATGCCTCCTATTGTACCAACGGTATTAACTTGCTTTTACTACATCAATTATCGCATTTACACGTAAGAGTAAAATTATAATAGCACCCTGCACGTCCCCCCCCCCCCATCCCCCTCACAAGGTTATTTCCGTCTTGTAATTAACAGCTTCCGGGAGGTGTGCTTGACCCCGTACTACCGTAAGGAGGAGCGGCTATAACGACCCTACACCTGAAACTACAGCAATTGACCAGGGGGAACAAGACTAGTCAGGGTGAAGACGTTACAAGAAAATGAATGCAGGGGGCCGAACTCTGCTTTAAAATGATTCTTTTTTAAAAGGTTATTATTGCTCGCGGCAAAAGGGCAATCCAGCACAATACGCGGAAATGTGAGACTCACGGCATGGAAACTTTAATTTGGCAAGTTATTGGGCACTCAAACATTATGTAAGCATAAATCATTTAAAAGGATTTAGTGCAACATTAATTAATTTGCACACACACACACACACACACACACACACACAAGGGGGGGGGGGGGTGGCTGAGTGGACAGCACCCAAGGATCGTGGACCTAGGGACTGGGGTTCGATCCTTGGCACCGCTGGAAAAACAAATGGGCAGAGTTTCCTTCACCCTGATGCTCCTCTTACCTAGCAGTAAATAAGTACCTGGGAGTTAAGACAGCTGCTACGGAGCTGCTTCCCGTGTGTGTGTGTGGGGAAAAAAGATAGTAGTTAATAACAGTTGATTGATTGACAGTTGAGAGGCGTGCCGACAGATCAGAGCTCAACCCTCGCAAGCACAGCTAGGTGAATACAACAAGACAGTAGTGGTATAGTCATTAATATGACGCTTGTTACCTCCTAAATAGTTCACTAATCATCAAGACTCGTTCATCCCGTCTATGTTATGATAACACGTTTCAAGGGGGTAGAAAGTTATCCCATGACAGTTCCTAGTGTCATCATCAGAGCGCATATACATTTCCAGTTTTATAACAATGATTCTAGACATATAATATATATATCACTGAGGTCACTCGACAGTACCTACCTGATCGACACGCCGAAGATCACCTGTTACTATCGAACCACAAGTGACCGTCGAGGGCAATTACACCCCGATCAACAACACACAACCGCTCGAAACGCCACTGAACACATTGTGGGGGGGATAAACGCCCACGCCCACACGAACACAACACACACACGCCCTCTCCTAACGCTAGGGCCACGCGTACGCCCGCACTCCACCACGTCCAGCACGACACTGAGCCGCCCAGCTGGTCACCCAGCCCTCAACATCGAAGCGGCCCGCCCCCTTCTCTTCCATAATAATCAGAATTCTGCGCTTCTATCTCTTCTCTTGTCGTAACTACAATGACCTCTTGTCATGACTACAGTGATGGCGGTCATGAATAACCTCAGTGTCAGTAACCCGTACTGGAGACGAGCCTCGTCAATCAGAATCCAACCTTAACCCGAACATTTTTTGGATCTGAATTGGGATTCAGATCACTATGGGGTTTCAGGGTTCGAATCAGGTTATTTCTACTCTGCTAATTTCGGGTACGCGTTGGGTAACTTGTGCTCCAAATACATAACCAAATCCAAATACATTTTACAGGTTGAAAGCAATTAGTTATGAGTCGTGTATAAAATACTTTTTGAGCTTTCCCTTCCCCGCGCGGGACAGTAGACGAAGCAGCTTTTGAGTACGGGTTGCTAAATTCATTGCATGTCGCTGGTTTGGTGCAGGGCTTCATGCCTATCAACCGCTAGACCAGTGATGCACAACCAGACTGCCTGTGTCTGGGGTTCCAAGAGCCTGTGTCTCTTCTGAAGGAGTTGTATGACAGACCAGACTAGTATAAAGGGGGAAGCCTCGTACTAGATATTGTTGCTTGGGGCGGTGTATGCTGTAATAAATACTCTCTGAATGTATTAATACATTTTTCATAATACAAATGTGAGTACATGATTTAAAGAGGTATTTAAGACTAATAGAATTTACCTTTATAAAATAACTAATTTGAAAGTGTAGGTCAATGTTTAGAACAACATTGAAATAGTGGATAAATAGTAATAGTTATAAGAGTGTTAGAAACACACATACATGTACACAGAAAGAGGATAAAACACAATACAAAACAGAGATACAAACGGACGCAAAATGCTGGAGAGAAATACACAAAAATTAGAGTGGGTGGGGTGGGGGGGGGGGGTGGATGAATTGAGTGTTGGATTGTGTAATCTTACCCTCCTAAAAATGTGTTTTAAGAGAGTAAGATTAAGGCAAGAACGAGTGTATTTAGGGATTAGCTAAATACAAGAGATTAGCATGCGAGATAATTAAAGAAAAATAACACGGGGAGAGAGAGAGAGAGAAGGCTCAAGGCGGTAATGATGCCAAAGAACAGTGTACAGTATACCTTGTGTGTGTGTGTGTGTGTGCTCGTATCTAATAAGAGTTTGTAGGGCCGAGCTTTAGTTCTTGGCCCTCGTCTTTCCAACTGTCGGTTGTCTAATGCAGTGACACAACCACTTTGTTTTATTATATTGGCTTTTAAATCCATTGATGGATGTACCTAGTATTTTCTCTGACTTACTGTCCTAACAGTGGCTCATCTGTTTGTCTATCTTTCGTATATGTTCTTTTGGTAGGCTACTGCTCAACCTAAACACCCCGTCAGTTTCCATCATATCTTTCAGTATTTTGTATGTCTGGATCATGTGCCCTTTATAATAACATCCAGTAACATGATGTTCAGCTTCCTCAATTTATTCCCGTAGCTCAGTCTCCTCAATTCTAGAATTATTATTCATGCTATGCTTTTTGAGCACCCGCCAAACCGGACGGACATAAGCTGTATGTAGTTTTGAAATCACTGTTGGTTGGGTTATGAAGGTTGTCCTGGCGCTCGTCGGGTTAACATACACTGCTGATGTAAGCTTGTTCGTCTGTTCCTCTGGAGATAGGTTCGGTGTTATGTATTCCAGATATGTATCTCTCGATACATATCTCAGATATGTATCATGCAAGTTCCTCCCATTTATTACGTACTGTTCCACCGGTTTCATTATCTCTGTTCCCATCTTCATGACTGGTCGATCACTGATGCAGTTTATCTCAGTATTCCTGTAGCCTCCTGCTCGTCTTGATTCCTTCAACAGCTGTGCTTTATAAGCAGTGATAAAAAAGTTTTGTTCGTCAGCTCATTTGAGTATTTGTCAAACGACGAACGACATTTGTTCGTCCATTTATGTATACTAAAAATAGCTTGGATCCTAGAACAGACACTTGTTGAACTCCATTAATGACATTCCCTCATACAATTTTTCCATCTTGTTTCCTGTTAGGTAATTTCCCTAAAAAATATGGCACTTTGCCAGCAACGCCGGCCTGTTTCTTTAGCGTGTACAGGAAGGAGTTTCTTACGTAGAACAGTCTCCTGCTTTCTGATAATTTAATAGTATGCATTTCGCTCACCCTTTCCCTTGTTGTTTGATCCCAGTCATTCTAGCACAGAACTCCAATAGTTTTGTCATGCATAGCTTCCCTTCTGTGAGGCTGTGTTGGTTACTTTTCTGCCCATTTAATTATTTTTAGAGGTTCCATTATTTTTTGCATATTATTATTTTACCACTGGTATGTTATTGAGTGATTCTTGTCTGTTTTCTTTCTTGAATATTGGTACATATGCCTCTTTCCAGCTATGTGGCCTTATCCAGTCTCCAGTAATGCATTGGAAATTATTGCAAGTGGCTTGCAAAACATTTCAGCATCTTCATTTAGCATCCTTGGTGAGATCTTATTGGATACCACAGCCTTTGTTTAGTAAAATTCCTACAGTTGATTTCTTACCATTTACTCCATACACACACATACATTATATATATATATATATATATATATATATATATATGTCGTACCTAGTAGCCAGAACGCACTTCTCAGCCTACTATGCAAGGCCCGATTTGCCTAATAAGCCAAGTTTTCCTGAATTAATATATTTTCTCTAATTTTTTTCTTATGAAATGATAAAGCTACCCATTTCATTATGTATGAGGTCAATTTTTTTTTATTGGAGTTAAAATTAACGTAGATATATGACCGAACCTAACCAACCCTACCTAACCTAACCTAACCTATCTTTATAGGTTAGGTTCGGTTAGGTAGCCGAAAAAGGTAGGTTAGGTTAGGTTAGGTTAGGTAGGTTAGGTAGTCGAAAAACAATTAATTCATGAAAACTTGGCTTATTAGGCAAATCGGGCCTTGCATAGTAGGCTGAGAAGTGCGTTCTGGCTACTAGGTACGACATATATATATATATATATATATATATATATATATATATATATATATATATATATATATATATATATATATATATATATAATGTGTGTGTGTGTATGGAGTAAATAAATATCAGCAATATTACTTTTCAAATACAGGTATTTTAAGAATTGCTCATAGCAGTTACACAGAGCATAAAGAATCATGTCCTCCACGTTCACAAAAAGTGGTCACATTCATACAAGTGAAAAAAAAATCATAACCTTGCACAATGAGCAGTGACTTAACAGATGTTTACAATGCTATCAATGTTTACAATGAGTCAGTGTTATCATAGAATGTTTGGCTATGATAACATTTATTTGTTGCACCCAGACTACGAACTATATCCGCTTTCCAATACAAGTTAGTGTTTAGATACGAAAATAAAGCGTCGAATAAAATATCGTGTTTAAAAAGATAAGAGCAAAAAACGAATTTCGTTGCCAGTCTAAATATCATATACCAGTGAAGTAAAATTACATAGAAGAGCGCCATTTTCCTACACTCCCATGACAACTTACGACCGGCTATCGCCTAATCAGCTATGGCAACTTACGACCAGTTATCACCCACGTGATCATGGCAACCAAGTATTCTCGGGAATGGAGAGCATCGTGAGTGATTTTAATGCAGCAAGAACACATAACACATCGGAAATTATGTCCCCTTTAGGCTAGGCTAATTTCCGAAAGGTTAATTGCGAGATTTTTAACCGCACCAAGATGAGAGAGAGAGAGAGAGAGAGAGAGAGAGAGAGAGAGAGAGAGAGAGAGAGAGAGAGAGAGAGAGAGAGAGAGAGGGGGGGTATATTGTACATATTAATGTGACAGAACCACTTTATCGTCCCCCGTAAAATCATGCAAGCAGGACGATCAATGAACCAGGCATTTGATACCTTCTTCTCTGACGCCCGACGTCTCAGCTCAGTCCCCATATAGATCGTGGCAGCGGCACGGGGACCCACTCGCCAGAGTGGAAGCAGAGAAGGTGTCACTCAAGCACCTGACTTGCTCACGAGTACGACAGGACGTCTCATCACCCAACCCGCCAACTGAAGACGATGTGGCGCATCCTGGGTGAACCTCCAGTAACATATTAACGATTTTTATTTATGTTATCATTATGTTTAGTCTTATTTTCAGTTTCAAGGCATGAAAATGTGTATTAATAAGGATGTTCAGCAAAAAAAAAAAATACCGGTTGGATGTTCCTTTCTGGTTGTGTATTACAAGTTTGAAGGAGGGGAAATGAAGGGTGGATACTTCGTTGCTCGAGCTTGAATAAAATCTATACTCGCCCGTCAGTGTGACTTGTCCCATTTCCTTCTTGAAATAAACTTGTTTGACTACAAACTCTGAGAGGTCAGGGGGGAGGGAGTTATCATGGAAAAGCGCCAAGCTGTTACGACTATATAGCACTTGGAAGGGGTCAGGATAAGGATTTGGGATGGGACGTGGGAAGGAATGGTGGTTATCTAGTGTTTACAATGTATTACAACATGTGTGACAAAACTAGTATAGCATACAAGCAATTTAGGAAGTTTAACTTTCATTATTTTTAGAGGCTATGCGTCCTCTCATTTTTTAGGCTACATATTTTACGAAATCAACCAACCCGTTAAAAATGCGACGTAGTATTAACAATCCAAGTACGGTAATATGGACGTTTTCTATACATCGGCCTCGAATGGTTAGATGGGTTGCTAGGGTTCGTACGTTTCTAGTTAGGGAAAACAGTTGCATTTTACGGAGTGGTCAATCAAGAGAACTGGTAACGCAGTTAACTTGTCTCTACAATCATGGCGGTGTTTAGTAAACATTTGGTGTTGTACGTCCTTCATACTAAATGATATACATTTAATTATTCACATTTAGTCTATAAGGCTTTTGTATAATATCTTGAGAAGGT